CCCAGGTTCAATGGAAAATACTATGGGTGGTGGAAAATAAGAATGCGTGATTTTATCATGGCTGAGGATTCCGAGTTGTGGGATATTATTTGTGATGGTCCACATGTTCCTATGAAGAATCTTGAAGAAACTGGACCAATGGTGCCGAAAGACAGAAAGGAGTACGATGATATGGATAGAAAGGCTGTAGAAAAGAACTATCGCGCTAAGAAAATCCTGGTATGTGGTATGAGACCCGATGAGTACAACAGAGTCTCAGCTTGTGATACTGCCAAAGAAATATGGGAAGCGTTGCAAACCGCACACGAAAGAACCACTCAGGTTAAACAATCCAAGATTGACATGCTCACCACAGAGTATGAGCTCTTCAGGATGAAGGATGATGAGTCTATATAGGATATACACACCAGATTCACATCCATCATAAATGAGCTTCATTCGCTTGGAGATGTCATTCCCAGAAACAAGTTGGTAAGAAAAATTCTCAGTGTTCTACCTGGTTCTTGGGAAAGTAAGGTAAATGCCATCACTGAAGCTAAAGATCTATAAACTCTAACCATGGATAAGCTGATTGGCAATCTGAAGATATACGAGATGAAAAGAAAGAAAGACAGTGAAAGAAGACAGCCAAAGAAGGAAAAGAACCTGGTACTCAAGGCTAAAAGTAGTGACTCGAGTGAAGAAGATAGTGATATGGCCTATCTTACTAAAAGATTTCAAAAGATGGTTCGAAGGAATGGTGGTATACCAAGAGGGGCAGTTCTAGTAAAGCAAGGAGCAATGATCTCTGTCACAGGTGTGGAAAGGCAGGGCAATTCATCAAATACTGTCCACTTGCGAAACAGGAGCAGTACAGACAAAACCCTGACAAAGCAGGAAAAAGGAACCTGGTTCCGGACAAACGATTCAATCGAAAAAGTGCAGCTGGCAATATTGTGAAACAGGCTTTTGCTGCTTGGGGAGACTCCTCCAGTGAATCCGAAAGGGAACCAGATGCAAAAAACAGTTCCATAATGGCAGTGGAAACTGATTCAACGAAGTATGATTTACTGTTTGCGCTGATGGCTCAGTCTGATGATGATGAAGAAGATGAAGATAATGAGGTAAATTTCAGGGATGTTCAGAGAAATCTGAAATCCTACTCTTCTAAGAAGATAAGATCATTAGCAAATATTCTAATTGATGCTTATTATAGCCTTAATAATGATAAGTAGATCTTGACCATAGAACTAGGAGAAGTCGAACATCTAGAGATGATCTGGTAGTCTGTGTAGTGGACCTAAATGAAACCATAGCCAATCTTGAAAAAAAAAGGAAGCCTTGAATGAAAGAATAACTAGTGTGGAAAATGAGAGAGATGACCTGATGGTAGTAGTTGTTGACTTGAAGGAAACAATAGAAGGTCTTAGCAATGAAAAACACACCCTAGAAGAAAAAATTGCAACTACTGAGCAAGAGAGATTAATGACCTTTTAGTGATAATTACTGATCTAGAGGAAACCATTGAGGGACTCAATAGAGAACATAGGAATGTGATCTTTGGGAAAGGGAAGGAAGTAGCTAGTAAGACACACATCAAGCTTGAAAAAGAATTAACTGATGTGAGAACTAGTCTATGTGGTGAACTTGAGAAGAATCGGCAACTTCAAGCTGAATTGGAGAAAGTAAGAATTGATCTTGAGAAATCTCTGAAGTGGACCTGGTCATCAGATGCTGTCACTGCCATGTATCTTAACAATAGTGGAGACAGGCAGGGCATCGGGTTCCAAAGGGAGAAAACTCCTTACAACCCTCACAGCAAGTACGTCACTGTGCCTGATAACTGGTTGTGTACCCACTGTGGGAACAATGGGCATTTTAAAGAAAATTGGCAGGCCAGGATTCAATCTGTTCAGAAAAACAAAGTGTTTACTGACAAAGTGACTACTAACAAGGGACCAGGTACCGCTCGCAAGAAACGAATGTTGCCTGCATGGACTAGAAAAGCCCTTATCCATCCCTTTTATCATAACAAGGGACCCAAACTAGTTTGGGTTCCCAAATCTAACCCATGATTTGCGTATGCAGGGAACATTGAGAGGAAGCGTACTGCAATAGACCATGAATAGAGGATGCTCAAAGCACCTCGGATTTCTTCTCACTGAAAGCCCTGCAGATAGGGAATGTATTCTCCTTAAAAAAGGGAGGTACATTCTCGGCGTTTGAAAAGTTGGAAAGCTTCTTTGACACTCAGTTGGGAAAGTGTTCTATGTGGGTGGCCTGAAGAACAGTCTCCTGAGTGTTTGTCAAATCTGTGATAAAGGTAACAAAGTAGAGCATTTATCAAAAGTGTGCACAGTTACCAATCTGGTAACTGGCCAAGTGGTCTTAGCGGCCAAAGGAAACAAGAACATCTACTTTGCTGACTATGAATCTCCATAAGGTGGTGATATGAGATTCTTGAAATTCGTTGATGATGTAGAACTTTGGCATGAAAGATTGGTGCATGCAAGCTTGTTACCTCCGAATAAATTGATTCAGAAGGACCTGGTCCGTGGTCTGCCAAACTCAAGATTTATCTGGACATTGGGTCACAGAACAAAGGAGGAGACTTTAGAGGTATTAATGGTCCTTGTCACGAAGAGTCAAGTGAAGATCAAATTGAAGGGAGAATGGATCAGATCTGACCACGGGACAGAGTTCAACAATGCCAAAATGTTTGAGGAAAAACAACAAACACATGCATGCTACCTAGCGAACAGGTGTATGGTCAGGTCCCTCTTGGACAAAGCCCACTATGAGCTGCAAAATGGAAGAAAATCAAAAGCAACTCATCTGAGGACCTTTTTTTTGAACAAAATGACATGTTCTCAACAGTGGGAAGGACCAGCTTGAGAAGTTTTGATGCAAAAAGGTGATAAAGGAATCCTTCTGGGATACTCCCTACAAAGCAAAGGCCACAAAGTCTACAACAAAAAGGGCACACTGGGTAAAGGGAGCGTTCATGCGCTATTCAACGAGATACCTCCTCTAACAAAGGAGGAAACAGTGATGATCATTAAAATGAACCATCTCTGGACCCTGGGAAATATCTGAGGTTTCAATTGGGAAGGCTGATATGATGTGTAAGATGAAGGAGAAAGGTGAAGGACAATGCAACATCCTCTTCCACTTCTCACAAAGAACCTGGCATTGAAATTGCGACCACTGAAGCTGAAGAAAGAATAAAGTACAGTGCAAGACACTCCACAAGTAACAGAACAAGGAGTGCAGGGTAATCCAACTAACCTACCAAGCTCCTCTACCAAACAAACCTCAGTTCCAAACTGGAAACTCAAAAGCTCCCATCCACCTGATAACACAATCATTCTCCTTCTGTATTTCCACTCCAGAATAGAATCCAAACTCAAGTCCCAAGGAATCATATTTGAAGCATAACAGTGTTCATCCGGCATTGAAGTCACTGGTGTGTCAAGAACAAGAAGACAACTCCACTAAGGATCAGTTTCGTAATGAGTTTATGTATATCCGTAGTTGAGTTGTAATCTTGTTATTTGTTCTTCATTGTATTTCCTATTTTGCTTTCCCAGAAGCTTTGTCTTAGGAAAACTAAAAATCCGTAAACTTCCGAGTTTATGTTGTGACTAGGATTAGTCATAAGTCTAAAGCCTTTGTAACTAGGGGAGTTATAAAGTGGCTTGTGGTGAGAGCATCACAAGTTAGTTGAAGTCTTTGTAATAGGGTTATTACAAAGTGGCTTGTAATAGTGAGATTCCAAGTTAGTGAAGTTAAAAGCCTACAAGTGTAGGTCGTAATTTTTTTATCCCCTTGTGTGGGATTTTTCCACGTAAAAATCCTTTGTCTTCTTTACTTACAGTTTTATTAGCATTCTCAGCTTAACCTCATATAGGACCATGTACTCTACTGTTTAGTTGACTCATACAAACTAACACGATTCATAAATAGTTTAGAGAACTCATTCCCAAGTAAAATGTGTTGCTCCTATCGATGTTCCTAAATAATACGATATTATACCACTAATTGGCTAGTTCTCTGGTCTGTAAACTCTAGCTAAACGGACCTTTTGCTAGTATATTCTAGAGCCCATAACGCTAAAATCCTTAAATTATCTGAGGATCCTCCGAACTATCAGAAATGTTAAACTTGGCAGTTTCAACTTTAGGAACTTTATTAAGGATACATCTTTATTTTTGATAATCTTTGCCAATTTAGGTGTTTAAGGCCTCTAAAGCTTCAATTTCTTTCCATCCTTCTCTTGTCTATCCATTATATCCATTACGATCTAAATTTTTTCTTTTACATGACGGTAAGTAACTTTGTGACGACTCTATTCTATTGTTATAATAGTGAACTAGTGTTATTTTCTAAAATGTAGTCTATTACACATCTTAGGAGTATGTAGTCTATTCAACCACCATTACTTCATCAAGACCGTGAATACGATCAACACCATCGCGAAGTACACTGCCAATATTTACAATCTTTACTTCTCCATTATATTGTTCAATATGTTCACGGATAATATTTCTAATTTCGTCAGCTCGAATGGTTACTCTGCCTACTCAGTAGCAGTCAATCTTCAAGTCTTCAGGCCATCCAAATTCCTCCAGAAGTGCCAGTACAACGCCATTCCTCCAGAAGCAACCACTAATTCTTGCATTAAGATATACTATCTACATCACGCCCCTTGAGTGTGTCCCTTCCCTGGACTCTATGAGAAAGCAGGATGTTTTATGCTTTATGCACCAGGCTATCCTTTTATTTCACTTTTTTTTGAAGTTGTTTGCCCATTAATACAATAGCAACATTATTTGGTCCAAATTCAGAGCAATGCCTATTGTACCCCGTTCAACTTCTACTAATTCACCTGCCATTACTCCATCAACACCGTTAATAAGAGCAATGCCATCGCAAAGAACAGTGCAAATAGTTACAATCTTTACTTCTCTATTGTATTGTTCAATACGTTCACGGATAATTTACTAATTTCGTCAGCTTGAATGGTTACTCTGCCTGCTCAGTAGCAGTCAATCTTCAAGTCTTCAGGCCATCCAAATTCCTCCAGAAGTGCCAGTACAACACCATTCGCCCATCCAAAACCCGTCTGCATTTAGACACAAAATTTTCATAGTATGATTCAAAGTATACGAGTGAACAAAAGCTCTTGACTATGCCAGTATTATGTATAGAACTTGTTTTTCCAATGAAATCAATCAAAATACTTGTTATCAAATAAATTGCAGGAAAATCAACAGATGCCAAAATCAGATCCTGTACTTACTTGGGCTACATACACACCACCACCTCCATATGCTCCCCATTTTGTCACGTCGTATTTTTCATACATTGCACCGGTTTTCTTGTAAGCTACATAGTTTGTTCGTATCCATCGGATAACAATGTCTTTAGCCAAGGCACTTGCCTCTTCTAGCCCAGACCTTGCGAGACCTTCAATGATCATGTGTTGAACGGGGGGCCAACCATTCGGAAAATCCCTATAAACTCATATAGCAGATCAAAGATTAAAAAGCACCTTACCATCATAACTTTTTCGCTTTATTTCAATGAGAATTAAAACTAGCTATGTACCATTGTTGTCCAGTATTAGACAGGGTTGTTGCAATCCCTGCAGGTTGAAGCAGGCCCGAGCTCTTGAGACTTTGAACAACTTTTTGAGTTGTAATATCATCTTCAGTTGTAATAAATCAGAAACAATATCATTATATGCTCAAGTAGTGATGTCTATATCCATATCTATATTAGAGATATAGTATACAGACCTGAATTGAATAATTCAATCCAGAAAGGAACAAAGTTAGAGGCAAATGACTTCTTGTTCTGGTGTATATCTTCCCATTTATAAATATCCTAATATCACAAACAAGTGAAACAAAACTTAGAATGCTTTAAGTTTTCAAGGTCAGAAAACATATGAAAATTCGTGCAAGATATACCATCTCGGATGTGTTGTTGTCGTCAAGCCAGTAATCAAGCCATTGCCCCATCTCCGCGTTCCAAAAGATACAGTTTATGGCCCTTTGTCTACTTTGAGAAGCTTCTGTAAATCGAGCAACAATGCTAGTATCTCCAACAAGATTTGCTAAAAAGGCTACGTCAAGTTCCATCTGTAATAGTACAATTTAAAATCTCGTCGTATATGCAAGGTCATACTTATAAGGCCTAATTTTCGGAGATTTACAAGTTACCTTCAGAAGGAGCGCATTCAGATCAACTGGTAGAATTGATGTTGTACTAGTTGTTGTGAGATCAGGTTCATTCCTGCGATACAAGATAAAAACAGTTTCGCATTATCAAACTATAACGAGAAATAAATGAACAATAGGGCTGCATTAAAATTTCTGAATAATGTGCTACCTCATCCATCTTGAACTGAAATCCCATCCACTTTCTGCAGCTGATGCCAAGTCGCGATAAAATTGTCTTTTCTCACAGATGTTTGGGAGTTTGGAAGCTGTTTTACTGTCCTATATCAAATGCAAAATAAAAAGAACATGTTATTTGCACTTGTACAAATGTCATAATAAGTCCAAGTCAGAAATATGAGTTTGCGAGCTTTACAATAGTTGATGATTCTGGCCGGGGTTCATTCCACATAGCATAGTATCGACTCAAACTATGGTTCGATCCCTGAGTATCTTGAATAGTCACTTCATGTATTCCTACAAAAATATGGAGAATGACAGATAAGTAAAGTCCTCAGCATAGACTTACCATAAAAAGCATTTAGGCCGGAAGAATTGTATAACAAGGCCCAAAAACATAGTACTATATTTAACATAGCCGAGGGTCTATTGGAAACAACCTCTCTATCTTCACTAGGTAGGGGTAAGGTCTGCGTACACACTATCCTCCCCGTACCTCACATGTGGGATACTGGGTTTGTTGTTGTTGTAACATATTGTGAGAAAAGCAACAGTCGATTCAATAGGAATCCAAAGAAACAAGATATACATTACCTGAATTCCAAAAATGATACTCCTTGAGCAATGCAGGAAGAGATCTTCTAACCAAGTCCAAATCGCCTGTCCGGTTGTATATTTCAACAATCATTGCAGACAGGAGAGGAGGCTGACTGAACGTGTGAAACACAAGATACGATAAGAATTTGTACAGCATGAAAAGATGAGCTAAGTAGTAGTGAAAGATATAAAATTACTACCTCCGTCACATTTTATGTGCAAACTGACTAGCATGTTCTATTGGTAGTACAACAACAACAAACCCAGTGTAATCCCACGAGTGGGGTCTGGGGAGGGTAGGATGTATGCAGCCTTACCCCTACCTTGGAAATGCAGAGAGGTTGTTTCCATGTTCTATTAGTAGTATTAAAAGAAAAACAAACCATTGAAAGTTGGTTAGGTGTCGCAAAAACTGAAAGCGTCACATATAGAAAGTACATACACAAGTTAAAGCATCGTAAAGGCTGTAAGTTTTATGAATCAAGATGTGAAAAGATTCTTGCCTTCTATTACTGTAGTATGATCGTGCACCATTAAGAACATAACCGAATTGATCTATCAGAGAAACCAGATTACTCACAATCCCTTTTGCAGTTTCATACATCTTGCTTGCTAACAAGCCCCTACATAAAAAATATGGCTAATGTATAAGATTTTCTCGAAAGAGAACTATTAAAAGGACGATAAGGACAGGAACTCCTGAAAGTATCAGAATACGCAACATTGCAACATCATCACTTCATACAATAACACTTAACAATGAAATTAGATTCCAGCTCGTTAATGAAACCATAGAACAAAGAAAAGATTGCATATTTCTGTCGAAATGGTAGGCGTCAAGAACATACTTACATTCACAGAATGCAGAGTTGTGTTCAGAAACTTCAACACTTAAAAGATCTAACAAATACTGAAACTTTTTATAGGATAGAACAGTAGATAATATTCATTCAACCAATTCATTGTTTCTTTAGAAAGCAAAGTAATTCGATCTTGTGAAAAACATGAGCTGAACTTCTATCAATTGCACAATATCGACTATCTCATAAACTGAACATAAGTAACTTCCACTCACTATTTTCTTTTCACTTCAACTTTACCAATTCACTTCATGTAAAAACAAGCAAAAGCTACAATTATTAACAGCATTTAACATAAGCCCGTGCACTAAGCTCCCGCTATGCGTGAGTGGGGAAGGGACGGAGCACAAGGGTCTATTGTATGCAGCCTTACCCTGCATTTCTGCAGGAAGCTGTTTCCACCGCTCAAACTGGTGACCTCCTAGTCACATGGCAACAACTTTACTGGTTACGCCAAGGCTCCCATTTAACATAGTGAGGCAAGGAAAAAAAGACTAACCTTATTATCCAGCAAGAATCCCAGTAATAAACCTCTCTGTAACGTGATCCTGCTATAAATAACTGGATTTTTCAATGGAATCAAAGTATACAACTCTGGTTTTTCCAATACTGTATCAGAAACTTTTCTACTTAAATTCTTCCAAAGTGAATGCACTTTCAATGCCCATTCCCTCACCTCAGAATTCTTCACCTTTGGCAAAAAACCTTCAGGCTCAGCCACATAATCCACTGGCTCAACATAAACCAAATCCTCATCTGCACCATTCAAATATTTACCTATAAACACATCCAAATCATGTACTGGAATTGAACCATTTACAGTTCTTGAAAGCTTATTAAAGAAAAAATTACAAGAAAATACACATGACTTCACACCATAACAAAAAATGGCCCATATTTTTAAGTTTTACCCAACCTAGCCACGTTATACATGTTTTGAAAACTGAAACGGTATTTTAAATTCTTAAGCATTATGACCTTTCCATATCTATGTAGCGGTTACATATCCTCTCCAGGAAGAGGTCTTCTAAAAGCTTCTTCTTTGCTGCTCGTGTTTTTCAATTACAATTGCTTAAAATTAGAGTGTCAATTGTTATTACTCCCTTCGTCCTATTTTTATTGATTTTAGTTGGAAATATTGTGCTTTTGAAAACACTAGTAAATTCAAAATTTGTGTTCTTACAACTATTGCTTCTAAAAGTTATGGAGTTAAATCTATGTTCTCACAACCATTGCTTTCACTCTCTCTTCTTCTCACATCTTCTACATATGCTTCAAGGGACCGTGTATTTTCTGTTTCTCCTCTTGTGTCACCTGCTTGCAATGTAAGAAAATTGAAGAGTAGAAGTCCACCATTGGAGACCATTCAAAGCTTTGCTTTTGAAAATGGGTTTTTTTGAATTTGTTAGTTGTTTGGATTGGGCGTTGTTCCAATTGATTGAAAATATCAAAAGGAGTTCAAAATTTAAATTTGAAGTGATTTGGAGTAGATTTGAGCAAGATTTGAGTTAAATTTCATAAAGACGCAAGGAAGAAGACCAAAAACCCTTTTTGTATAATTATGTATAATCTTGTATAATAGTGTATATGAGTGTAGAAACACACCTTATTATCTATTATACACTTTTATACACCTTTATACAAGCGTCCGTAGACGAACTTCTTCCACGATTTTCAATTGCAATTCTTGTTCAAAACCGTCCAAATCTCCATTAAATGACTTCAAATTTTATATACAACCTCCTTATACTATTTCTAACAAGTCTAAATAACACCCACTCTAAATTTATCATAAAATCAAATTCAGAATTTAAACCCACATATTTAAGCTTGTTAAAAATTTGATTTTCACCACCCAAATGAATTTGGTTTGTTGAATTAATATTTGAGTCACATTTAATTACTGATTCGAAAATAAATTTAAAAGCTTGAGGAATCTTTTTTAAAAATTAAATAGTAATTTTGAGAATCTATAGGAGTTGGATATTGAATCTTAGCCTATTATTTTTGGGCTAGTTGACTGTAAATTAAAATATGGGCTATAAAATTGAAAAGTAGGGAGCCCAATTGTTCTAAAGTGAAATTTTTCCCTTATTAAAAGCTTCAACTGCTGCTCGAGGCTCGAAATCAGATGCTACGAGCCTTCAAATCCGATCCACCGTTCAAATCCAAGACCAAGATATTACGAACACTCAGTCAAAATTTCAGCCCGATCCAACGGTTAACGAATCAGAAAACGTGATTTGAAGTTGGCTGGTCGAAATAAAAATCTGCAGCAAAACAAATACTTTTTTTCTCTCTTCTCTCTTGATGAAAGCTCTCTCAGAACCCACTCTTATGTGCTTAAGTCTTTCAAAGACTTGTATCAATAAGCATAGAATAATTCTCCAAGGTTGTCCTATTTATAGATCATGAGTGGTGCTTTCTCTTAAAGCCAAAACCCACTCAAAATAGGAATAAACCGAATCCAATTCCAAATAGGATTGGAAACCAAAAGAGAATAGGATTAGGCCATTGGGCCTTTGACTGGACAACATGGGCATGTGCCCAACAAACTCCCCCTCCAGCCAAGGGGCCAAATGTGTCTTCAAGTAGAGGAACTATTGACAGGCTTCATGCTTGCCAATTTTCTGCAAAACGCATGCTTATCTGCAAGCTTAACGACGAAGTCCTCAAGCTGTTCCATATAAATCTCCTCATTTAAATCACCATGAAGAAAAGCAGTCTTGACATCCATCTGCTCAAGCTCTAAATCTAGACTTGCGGCTAAGCCTAGAACCACACGAATAGAAGACATCTTCACAACATGGGAGAAAATTTCATCAAAGTCAACTCCCTTCTTCTGGCCAAAACCTTTAACAACTAACCTCGCCTTGTATCTAGGCGTAGAGGTATGGTTATCTTGCTTTATTCTGAATATCCATTTGTTAGATAAAGCTCTCTTACCTTTCGGCAATTTCACTAACTCATATGTGCCATTCTCATGGAGTGACTTCATCTCATCTTCCATCGCTTCGATCCAATAATCTTTTATCTTGCATGGCTTCATCATAATTCTCAGGTTCTCCCATGTCAGTCAAAAGTACATACTCATCAGGAGGATAGCGCATGAATTTTTGCTTCTCCCTTGTAGATCTTCTAAGAGAGGTTTCAGGAGCATTCATAGTAGTTACCTGTGCAGGAATTGGTTGCTGATCAACCACAACTTCATCAACTGGAGCATCCATAACATCTACACCATGATGATCATTTTGATCTTGATCACTATCTCCATCATTGTCTTGGTTCCTTCATGTGAAATAGGTGCCTTAGCAATTGAAACTGGATCAATATCAACTAAGCTCTCATTACTCTGAGAATCTATCTTCTCAGCTTTGTCAATATCTTCAATAGTTTGGTCTTCAAAGAATATTGCATCACGACTTCTAATAAGTTTATTATCAATTGGATCATAAAAACGATACCCAAACTCATCTTGACCATAACCGATAAAGATGCACTGCTTAGTTTTGACATCCAGTTTCGATCTCCCATCTTTAGGAATATGCACACAAGCTTTACACCCAAAAACTCTCAGGTGATCATAAGAAACATCTTTGGCAAACCAAACTCTGTCTGGGACATCATCATCCAAAGCAACAGCAGGAGACAAATTGATAACATAGGCAACAGTGTTAAGTGCTTCCGCCCAAAATGTATTTGGAAGTTTAGCCTCTGAAAGTAAGCATCTAACTCTCTCAACTAGAGTTCTATTCATCCTCTCTGCCAAACTGTTCAATTGAGGCGTCTTGGGCGGAGTTTTCTGATGACGAATTCCTTGTTCCTTGCAATAGTTATCAAAGGGACCACAATATTCACCACCATTGTCAGTGCGAATACATTTTAATTTCTTCCCCGCCTGTCTCTCAGCTAAGGCCTGAAATTCCTTAAACACGCCAAGTGCTTGATCTTTAGATTTCAAAGGATACACCTAGAGCTTACGAGAATGATCATCAATGAAGGTCACAAAGTAAAGTGCACCACCTTTTGACTTTACTTAAAAAGGACCACACAAATCAGAGTGTACTAGCTCTAATAAATCGGGCATTCTTGAGGGAGGATGGCTATGAAAGGAAACCCTTTTTCTGTTTGCCAGCTAAACAATGTATGCACCTTTGCAGCTTTGCTTGTTTTACTCCAGAAAGCAAACTTTTCTTAGCCATACGCGTAATCCCTCTCTCACTCATATGACTCAATCTTCGATGCCACAATTCTGACAAACTATCACTTTCCACCAGATTTATTGAGTCATTAAGAATAGAGCCTTGTGTCACATATAATTGACCAGACTTGACTCCTCGAGCCACTACTAACGAGCCCTTGGTGAGCTTCCATTGGCCGTTAAAGAGAGCATTATGGTAACCTTCATCGTCTAATCTTCCTGCGGAGATCAAATTGAAAGGAAAGTCTGGAGCATGCTTCACATCTTGAAGAACTAACGTTGAACCATTATTAGTTTTCAAACAAACTGTGCCAACACCAAACACCTTAACTTCACTGGCATTGCCCATCTTTAACACTCCAGAATCAACATGAGTATAAGATGAGAAAAAATCTTTTCTTGGTGTGACATGTGAGGTAGCTCCAAAATCTACTATCCAACTCGTCTCATGGGATACCAAATTGATGACGTTTTTATCATAAGCAAAAAAAAGATGCATCTACCCGTTTTTTCAGCTCATAAACCCGAGAGTATATCCGATGAAGATTGGGATTTCGAGAACCAACAAGTATGTGGATATATACGGCAATGGGTTGAAGATAATGTTCGCAACCATATTGTGAACGAGATACATGCGAGATCATTGTGGGAAAAGCTAGAGACTCTTTATGCTTCAAAAACCGGGAACAACAAATTGTTTCTGCTAAAGCAATTTTGTTAAGTGTTTGCCATAATTTTCTTACCATATTTGAATTTCCTATCTCTTGAAGGAAAAGGGAAATATAATTACCTTAACTGGGTTTTTCCTTTTTGTAAAAGGAAATTATAAATCTCCAATATTTGGCTAGTCCTTTTTCTTGTAGGAAAAGGCTTGGACTTCTATAAATTGAGGATCCTTCCTTCACATTCAGTAGCATCCACAATGTAGCCATAGGGGGCTTGAGAGTCGTGTTTAGGGGGAGAACTTTACGGGACAAGTGTTAGTGTGTCACTTGTGTTTGCCTCTTCGTGAGGTTGTTCTCTCGATATTTTGTACTCTCTTTTTATTATAGTGGATTGCTCATCTCCGTTGTGGACGTAGGTCAGTTGACCGAACCACGTTAAATGTTTGTGTCTCTTTTGGCAGATTTCTCTTTGTTGTATGATTTATCGTCGTTCAAGGTTTGTTTTGCTAGCTTCCGCATAACACCTGATTTTTTCGGTCCTAACAAGCCCCTCTCAAAAATAATAGCTGACAATTTTTTTTTATGTATATGTATATTTTGTGAAATTAATCCTCTAAATTTTTTATTGAGTTGTAATAAGATTAATTTTTTTTAAGGATCGGGACTCGGATCGATTTATGGTTTATTTTAAGGGGTTGGGGTTGTAAATAAATCGGGTTGGATCATTGAATACGTGGCCTCAAATTTAGTGAAAATAGCACGGGCTAGCCCGTTTTCGGACTAGTCATTCAAAAATAGCCAGCGTTACAAATGGTCCAATGGGAGCAAAAATTTCCAGGAACATTTGGAACAGTCCGTTTCGGAGCAGAAGAGCCGTTTTCAAGTAGTGTTCGATCGATTATGTATTAATCAATATTCGATTGATTGGTCTGAGGTTATCGACAAAAAAGATTTGTCTAAGCCACTTCGTTTCTTTTTGTCCAAGTCACTTCTTTTTTTGTCCAAGTTGCTTTTCTTTTTGTCTAACTCACTTCCTTTTTTCTATGTGAGTTTCGGAAATATCCCCATTCATAGGTCCGAGATCTACATCTATGAATTGAAAGGTCCGAATGATCAACTCTGCAATCAGTTGTTAGAATCAATAGGTCTTCAAATTGTTCATTTGAAAAAATTGAAACCCTTTTTATTGGACGATCACGATACTTCCCAAAAATCGAAATTCTTGATTAATGGAGGAACAATATCACCATTTTTGTTCAATAAGATACCAAAGTGGATGATTGACTCATTCCATGAAAAATAGCCACTATTTTGCTGCAAGAGGGACCGGTCCAGCATAATATACTGGAGATCGGTGCACCTGTGTATGAACTTCCAGCATATTATGTTGGAACTCCAACACTCGAAAAGTTCCAGCATAATATACTTGAGATTGGAGCACCTGTATATGAGCTTCAACATATTATACTGGACCGTTATATTATACTGGAACTCAAGTATATTATGCTGGAGTTCCAGTATACTTATGCTGGAACTCCATTATAATATACTGGAGTATTTTTCGAATTTTGAACAGTATTTTCGTTCAGATTTATCTTTACATGAAAAGTGGCTAAATTTCGATTACTTTTGAAACTATGGCTATTTTTGAATGACCACTTGTAAATCTTATTCAAGTGGTATAACGGAAAATGTTTTCTTACTTAGGTATTTTTGAATTTCTTACTCAGGTTTAGGGTGTGTTTGGTATAACGAAAAATATTTTCCGCGGAAAATATTTTTCAGGAAAATGTTTTCTTGGAAAACAAGTAGTAATCTTATTCATTTTCCAGTGTATGGTACGTAAATTAAGGAAATGACTTCTCAAGAGTATTCATAAATAATTTAGATATAATAAACATGAAGTCATAAACTTTCAAACCAACAACCTTCCGAACCCATACTTTTCATAAACTTTCGAAACCGCGGAATTTCTAACCCGTAAACTTTATAATTTCTAAACCCGTAAACTTCCAAACGCATAAACCTCCAAACTCATAACTTTGGAAGTTGTAAAATTTTGAACCTTTAAACCTATAAATAAAAAACTAAAACTGAAATTTTAAAAAAAAAAAATTCGGAGAGAGGGGTGGGGTTGGTTGGTGAGAGTAGGGAAGATTGAGAAGGAGTTTTGGAAAATGTTTTCCCTTCTCTTGATAAGGGAAACATTTTCCTCCAATTGAAGGAAAATGAGTTCATAAGTAAAATGTTTTCCAAAACATTTAAGCTAACCAAACATAGGAATATTGAAAAATATTTTCCGAAAAATATTTCCCTTCATACCAAACACACCCTTAGTCATTTGGCTTATTATAGGCTTATATATAGCGAATACAACTTGTTTATGTATCGTTTCATAATGTATTATATTAACTGTATTATTTTAATGTATATAATATTTAGAAGATTTTATTGTTTGTCGTTATTATATGATGTCATGCACAAACAATTTAAAAAATAAACTTGTAATATTACAAAAAAAGAAATGTACGAGATAGAATTATTATGCAAAAGATAGAGTAAAAGATAAAATATGATTACTTAATAATAAAAAAGGGTAAGATGCGAGAGAAAATAAAGTAATGACACGAACACACCAAATCGATTATAACAAATATTTTTCATACGCAACAACAAATTTAGCAATACTAACGTAATAAAATTTAAGTAACAATGGTCCTTTTTCGTTTTTATTTTTAGGGTATCAAGAATCTTTTTAGTAAAACGCTATAACTTCAGAAATCTACACGTGTTACAACAGTGGCTAAAAAGAAACAAAGACAAGAATCCTTGTGAGAATCGAATAGGGTATTTTTCTAGTTCAGTTCAGAGTTAGATTTTTCAGATATCTGCTTATTCCCACTGCCGGCCTTTTCTGCTTTAAATATACCAAATTTGTTTTCCTTCAAATTAACCTATATAAGTTGGGCTCCAACAATTGGCTATGGCATTAGTATTCAACCAATTCAACCCCTTAACTTCACATACAACATGGAGAAAACCACAATTACTGTGATTTTTACTTTATTCATATCATTAACAACCATGAATATGATTAAAGCTGAAACATGTACATCCATTGATAAATCCCATGTAATTCCCACAACCCCTTTAGTTATTTTTCTTGAAAAAGTTCAAGAAGCTGCTCTTCAATCCTATGGACATAAAGGGTTTGATCCCAAACTGTATGTTGATATGTCACTGAAACAGAATCTTTCAATAACAGTTGAAGCTTTTAATAAACTTCCAAGATTTCTGAATGGTTCAATTCCAGCACATGATTTGGATGTGTTTATTGGAAAACATTTGAATGGTGCAGATGAGGATTTGGCATATGTTGAGCCAGTGGATTATGTGGCTGAGCCTGAAGGTTTTTTGCCAAAAGTGAAGAATTCTGAGGTGAGGGCTTGGGCATTGGAAGTGCATTCACTTTGGAAGAATTTAAGTAGGAAAGTTTCTGATAAAGTATTGGAAAAACCAGAGTTTTATACTTTGCTTCCATTGAAAAATCCAGTTATTATACCAGGATCACGTTTCAGAGAGGTTTATTATTGGGATTCTTATTGGGTAATAAGGTTAGTCTATTTTCTTGGCTTACCTGTGTTAAATGTTGTTAATTATCTTTTGGTATATGTTATTTCTTCATTGTTGCTTGTACTTGGTTTTTCATGAAGTAAATTGGTAAAGTTGAAGTGAAAAGAAAACAATGAAAACTGATATAAGTTCAGCTCTTGAAAAATCCAATTGTTTTGCTATTTAAAGAGATCATATTGCTAGAATTTGAACATTGATGTAGCCGATACGAATGATTAGTATAATGAACATTATTTACTGAACTTTCCTCTGAAAAGTTTCAATCTTGAGCCGAGGGTCTATCGGAAACAACTCTCGACCCTATAAAGGTAGCGGTAAGGTCTGCGTACACCCTACCCTCCCATAAACCCCACTTGTGGGATCACATTGGGCATGTTGTTGTTGAAGTATATTCTTGGGCCTACCTTTTTGACAAAAATGCAATCTTTTCTTTTTTCAATACTTTATTTAACTAGCTGAAATCTAGACTTATTTTTGTGTGAGGTGATGATGTTGCAACGTGGCTTATTGTGATACTTACTGGAGTTCCTGGACTTATTTCCCTTTTAATAGTTCTCTTTTGCTATGAGAAAATCTTATACTTTTAAACATATTTGTGATGCAGGGGTTTGTTAGCAAGCAAGATGTACGAAACTGCAAAAGGGATTGTGAGTAATCTGGTTTCTCTGATAGATCAATTTGGTTATGTTCTTAATGGTTCAAGAGCATACTATAGTAACAGAAGGCAAGCATCTTTTCACATATTGATTCGTAAAACTTACAGCTTTTAAGATGCTTTAACTTGTATGTACTGCCTTTATGTGAAAGTTTTAGCTTTTGGGGCATTTCAGACCAACTCTCAATGATGCTACATAATTTTCTGTTAATGCTACCGATATAACATGCAAGTCAGCTTAACTTATGAATTTGTCCCTAATTAAATCACACGCATAAAAGGCTGCAGAGGGAGTAATTGTATCTCTTTCATATCTTAGCTATTTTCTGGGTTCAGGATGTCCGCTTTTATTTCGGTCTTATTTTACTGTGATCTGTCCCCTCTCTAATAGTTCTGTTTTTTTTCTTCTTTGGAAAGGGGTGTGCGCGGGGGTGTTGGTTATTGACTAGAAAAACTGTATAAGGACTGTCTTTGTACTAGTTATGGTTATATGAGAAATCCAGTGTCATCTACTTCCTCTTTTCATGCTGTGTGAATTCTGATCGTATCTTTTTTCTTCATATGTTCAGTCAGCCTCCTGTACTGGCTGCGATGATTGTTGAAATATACAATCGAACAGGTGATTTTGATTTGGTTAAAGGATCCCTTCCTGCTTTGCTCAAGGAGTATCACTTTTGGAATTCAGGTACGATCTTGTTTTTTTTTTGAGGTTCCTATTGAATAGTCTGTTGCCTTTTCTATAATTTACCCATATTTTTAGACTTTGTTATCCATTTCTTCTGCTTAATTGCTTTTTATTGGATGCTTAAGCGGAAGACTTTACTTATCTGTCATTCCCACTTTTTGTAGGAGTACATAAAGTGACTATTCAAGATGCTCAGGGATCAAATCACAGCTTGAGTCGGTACTATGCTATGTGGAATAAGCCCCGGCCAGAATCGTCAACTATTGTAAGGCTCCGCAACTTATATTCCTCATTTCGGTATATCCTGAACTTCTAACAAATGTAAACTGTACATCTGTTTTTGTTTTTTTCATTTGATATAGGACGAGGAAACAGCTTCCAAACTCCCAAATATTTTTGAAAAAGGAAAATTATACCGTGATCTTGCCTCAGCTGCTGAAAGTGGGTGGGATTTTAGTTCTAGATGGATGAGGTAGCACATTATTCAGAAGTTACGAAGCAGCATTATTGTTTATTTATTTCTCACTATATTTGGATAATGCAAAGTGACTGGTTTTATCTTCTATTGCAGGAACCAATCTGATCTCACAACAACTAGTACAACATCAATTATACCAGTTGATTTGAATGCATTCCTTCTGAAGGTAATTTGTAGAATCGTTGAAAATTCGGCCTTATAAGTGTCACCTTGCATATAACTTGAGCTTTTAAATTTGTGTAACAGATGGAACTTGACATAGCCTTTCTAGCAAATCTTGTTGGAGAAAGTAGCATCGTTGCACATTTTACAGAAGCTTCTCAAAATAGGCAAAAAGCCATGAACTGTATTTTATGGAACACAGAGATGGGGCAATGGCTTGATTACTGGCTTGACAACAGCAACACATCCGAGGTTGGTATGTCTTGCATGAATTCTTTCAATGTCTTCTCACCTTGTAAACCTAAAGCATTCTAAGTTTCGTTTCACTTGTTTTTTATTTTAGGATATTTATAAATGGGAAGATTTACACCAGAACAAGAAGTCATTTGCTTCTAACTTCGTTCCATTGTGGACTGAATTACTTAATTCAGGTATGTATCCTCTACCTCTAATGTTTGTTTCTTCTGTAATCTCCTATTGTCGGGGACTTAAGCTGCGGACTAGTAGAACTTTGCATGTAGAACTGAGCTGCACCCATCTGAATGGAGCTTTTACAAAGTTGATACCTTTAACACTCGCAAGAAAAAAAGTAAAATTGAACTTAAAAGCATGCAAAGTTGATCAGTCTTGTTAGGGCCAAACCATTACGGTTATTTGCTCTTGTAGAACTGCTATGTTTTGGCCCTGGACTTGTTTCGACTATCGATGATGTTGTCTGGTCTTATTACTTTTTCAATAGATTTATAAGCCAATGTCTCGTCTTGTTTTGGTCCCAAAATTATTAGAACTTTCTAGCTGATACTTATGGATATAGGCATCACTACTTGAGCATATAATGATGTTTTTCCGCTGTGTTATAATTGAAGATGATATCACAACTCAAAAAGTTGTTCAAAGTCTCAAGAGCTCGGGCTTGCTTCAACCTGCAGGGATTGCAATGACCTTGTCTAATACTGGACAGCAATGGTAGATAGTTTATTTTAATTCTTATTGAAATAAAGTCGACCACTTATGATACTACAGTGCCTTCTACTTTGATCTCTCATATTTGTTAACAGGGATTTTCCGAATGGTTGGCCTCCTCTTCAACACATGATCATTGAAGGTCTCTCAAGGTCCGGACTAGAAGAGGCAAGAGCCTTAGCTGAAGACATTGCTGTGCGATGGATAAGAACGAACTATGTGGCTTACAAGAAAACCGGTGCCATGCATGAAAAATATGATGTCACAAAATGTGGAGCATATGGAGGCGGTGGTGAATATGTACCTCAAGTAAGTGCAGGATACAACTTTGGCATCTGTTGATTTACCTGAAATTTAGTTTTCTATAAATATTTTGGTTAATATCATTGGAAAAAGAAAAATCTCATTTTAGAAACGAATTACCTTTACACACTATTCGAAAAGAATATGTCTGAATTGCTAAAGTGACTAGTTTCCATGTTCTATGCATAATATTTGCATAATCAAGAGCTTTTATTCACTCATAGGCTATATTATATCTACGAGCCTACTTACAAGGCTTCGACTGTATTTAAATCATACGATAAAGCAGTCTACTCTGGAAATATTGAGTTTCAAAATAGACATATCATACGATAAAGCAGTCTACTCTGGAAATATTGAGTTTAAAAATAGACATATTAAGCACACTAAGTCCTTTTTCATTTTATTTTTGAGTCTTGATTAATATTTGTGTCTGAGTGCAGACGGGTTTTGGATGGACGAATGGTGTTGTACTGGCGCTTTTGGAGGAATTTGGCTGGCCTGAAGACTTGAAGATTGACTGCTACTGAGCAAGCAGAGTAACCATAACAAATACCATTGAGTTCATTTTCTTCTTATTTTTTACCTGTTAAAATCAGCAGCAGCGGTTTGCCGATTTTATTTATGTTCATATTATTTCATTAGGTTTTTGTACCATATAAAGTGATCCAAGGGGTGATGTAAAAAGAATTATTACCGTGATTTGTACTTGTAAACTGCTTATAAGATGATTATAAGTTATTCTTATAGCCCTTTTGTCTTTCCAAATTTCTCTCCTTATGTTCTGAACAATATTATTGCTCCCTCAGTTCCATATAGAACAACATTACTCTTCTGAAATATGTTGATTTTATTTCAAATAAACTTGAGATAGTTGATGTTGAATTCATACTAAAATATGTTATTATTTTCTGAATGGAATGAATACTACTACTCAACTTCTTTGGTGTAACATGATGGAATTTTTACCTCCTATAGCAAAGGTTGATACCTTATTTATTTTAAATAAATACCCTTTTAAAAAATTATATTCCATAGCTACCTTTTGATTTTTATAGCCAAATATCTATTTATGGTTACCTCCTAACATTTAGCCATACAATACTCTTTTTATTATTTTTCTCTAAATAAAACTCCAGCTCCATAACCTGAATCTCTTTCCAACAATTCCATTACGCCTATCCATTCGTGAAAAATCAATACGGAAGGTTAAGGCAAAAATCAATGGCCACTGAAGCACCGCTAGAGGTGATGGAGGTTCCGCCGACGTTGGTTACTAAAGCCCTAGAGAGAAAGATCTATCCCATTCTGATGGCCGTTGGTTTGCAATGAAATCTAGACATGGCCACTACAACTCTTGCCTCACCAACCCCATTGCTGCTTTTCTTCATCTACCAGATTCGCAATTACTAACAAAAGAAGACAATCTGCTATTGAAAATAAGGAATTTCTTTCGCTTTTGCGCCAAATTTTGAGAGTTTCGAGTCAGAATCGCGGCCCTCTCGACGAGACGACATTAGGGTTGTTCTTGAACAAAGACGACGAAGTTGGGGGCTGAGCAACTTGAATTTTCTGTTAATATATTTCAATGTATCTCGCTGTATTTCATTGTCTTTTTTTTAATTGTATTTCAATGTATCTCGCTATATTCTATGTATTTCATTGTATTCATTGTCTTTTTTTTTTATTGTATTTCAATGTATCCCGCTATATTCTATGTATTTCATTGTATTCTCTGTTCGCTATATTCCATGAATGTATTCATATGTTCTTTTTAATTAATATAATTTATGTATTCAGATGTATTATATAATTTTCTCTGAAGATTGCTATATTTTTGGGGTATTTTTCGGTTGAGAATCTTTTTTATAACTGGAAATACAAAATTTGTATGTTATAATTGAGTTTGTTGAGTTATATTAGGAGTCTATTATGTTAATTGATTCACTTTCCGTTTAAAAATAGTGTAATCCCCTGTTTCACGTCGTGAATACAGTCGAATAAAATAATTTGTCCAGCTGTAATCCCATGTTTCACGCCATGAATACAGTCGAATACACGCGAATACAAAAATCTGTCTAGCTGTAATCCCCTGTTTCACGCCTAGAAATACTACTGTATTCATGAATACAGTAGCTTAAATACATTGAATACATTCTAAATATCTGAAAACATAGCTATAGCAAATAATATAGTAAATGGTAGCTACAACTAGCTAATAACCACTAAAATATAGTGGTTTCTGAAAGTTTGTCTAACATGATAGGAAAATTGCAGAACTATATACCATAAGGGTGGTCTTGAACTTTCGGTCTAACTTAGCAAAATATTTAAAAGATAACCTCAACTTAAAAAAAAAAAAAAACTGTTGGGCTAAACTTCTGTTGCCAATCAGGCATAAGTTGTATTATTTGTAATATTTGCATAAGTTAGTTGTGCCTATGAGACAGGAGTTCGGAATATTTCAATAAATTACAAAGATTGTGTTATGAAATACTTGATTATGGTGGTGGTGGATGTCCATAACTCTTAAGGGAGTAACACCCACTACTCTTCTCTATTAACCTCCCACTACTTCTTACCATTATGGATGTAACTCCCACACCTCCATGATCTTCCCCCAGTTCTCAATAGTTAATACCATGTTTATGGAGTCCCTTTGTATTACCTATATCATCCTATAAATAGAGGGTTTGGGCATCACATTGTACACACTTGAATACATGGAAGAAATAGATTCTCTCCTCTCTTTCTCTCTATATCTCTTGTCTATTTTCTTGTTTTATGTTATTACTTTGAGCTTAGTTTCTTAACACGTTATCAGCACGAGTCTCTAATAGATTGAGATTATTTACTTCTGTTGGATATTGTCTTCTTCCCAACAAAGATATGCTTGATATGATCTGATCGAGCAAGAAAAAGGAAATAGTTATATTTAGTCCTGGAAATGTGAGACTACCTCCAGAGCAATTTTCAGATAGCAATTTATTGTTGAGTTAGGAGATTGATAAAATTACAACTGTGTGTCATGGCAAGTATAGAAGGTAAAAAGTTCCATCATATCACTTTATCTTGTTAGAGAGCATAATATTTAATTTTCACAAAAGTTCGGCAACTAATTTCTATTGATACGATTTTTACTTTATTTAACTTTGGAGCTTAGTTCCACTAGAAACTGTGAAATAAGTTATACTTTGGTACACTCATGGCCTTTTAGTTTCACTGAGATATATGTGTTTGATCAGAATAGTTGATAAACTAATTAATTCTTTCCTTGTTGTTGTTTACTTCCTTCATTGAATTCTTCATCTAACTATAAGAACTAATGACTTTAAAAGCAAAGGCTTAAAATATTAGAAGTAACGGGGCTTTGCTGGAACTTGGCCATTGGCGATATCATTATGTTCTATAGATAGCTAGCCTATTGGAATATGTTAACTGTCGAGCAAGATATTCTTGCTTCTTATTAACTTTCTGAAAATTGAATATACTAGTAACAGTACTAGTAACTCTTTATTTTACGAAACAATATATTCTTCTTGGATTGTTTCTTTCAGCTAACAGTTTTCTATTTTAATAAGTATATATATAAATTTATGTATATTTTAATATAGATGTTTAATATGATGTACTCTATGGCATGACACCTCCCTATTTGAATATGGGTGTTGTAACGACCCGGCCGGTCGTTTTTGGAAATTACGCCCCGATCCCCCATTAACTGTTTCCCCTAAGTTCATTTCTGCTATTTTGGTTTGCCGGGACGTTCGGTGTTGAGTTTCGGAGAGTTTTGGGACACTTAGTCACTAAACGAGAGCTTAAGTGTTGAAAAATGATCCGTAGTCGGAACAGTGTGAAGACGACCTCGGAATGGAAATCCGATGGTTCTGTTAGCTCCGTTAGGTGATTTCGAGGTTGGGAGCGTGTTCGAGATGTATTTTAGAAGTCCGTAGCTCATTTAGGCTTGAAATGCCGGAGTTTGTATTTTTGAAGTTTCCGGCCCGATAGTGAGTTTTTGATCCGAGGGTCGGATTGGAATTTCGGAAGTTACAGTAGTTCCGTCATGTCATTTGGGATGTGTGTGCAAAATTTCAGGTCATTCGGACGAGGTTTGGTTAGGTTTTCGATCGAAAGCGTGTTTGGTTGGAATTTGAGGTTCTTAAACTTGAATCTTTGATTATTTCGGGTTTTCGGCGTTGTTTTAGGTGTTTTAAGGATTGGTACAAGTTCGAATAAGGTATTAGGTGGTATTGGTGCTTTTGGTTGAGGTCCCGGGGGCCTCGGGATGATTTCGGGTGGTTGACGGAAAATTTTGAAGTTGAATGAATTGCTGAAGGTTCTGTCATCTGGTATTTCCGCTTCTGCGGCTTGGGAAGCGCAGAAGCGGAGCCGCAGAAGCGGAGCCACAGAAGCGGCTAGACCACCGCAGGAGCGAAATTCGAGTGCTTCTTCAGTTTCCGCAGGTGCGAAAGTTTAACCGCAGAAGCGGTTACGCACCTGCGAGATGGTAGTCGCAGATGCGATCCTTGGAATTTTGTTTGAAACCGCAGAAGCGGTAATGAATCCGCATAAGCGGCAACCGCAGGTGCGGTGAAGGGCCGCAGAAGCGGAAATCTTGACTTTAATGAAGAACCGCTGAAGCGGCTCGTCGTCCACAGAAGCGGGACCGCAGAAGCGGTCCCTTGTCCGCAGAAGCGGAAACCCCTGGACAGAAATAGAGATGTCGAGGGTTTGAGTTCATAAGTTGCAAAAATCAATTGAGAGCTCGGTTTAAGGCGATTCTGAGTGGGATTTGAAGTGAAGATCACTGGGTAACGTTTATTTGGTCCCTTCTTGTTATATTTCATCATTATATAGTTAAATCCACCATTAGAATTCGAATTCAAGGTCAAAATTGGGGAAAATTAGAAGAAACTTCATAGACCTAATTATTGAGTTTTGAGTGGGCAATCGACCTCCGATTTGGGAGATTTTTATATGGTTAGACTCGTGAGCGTACGAGGGTTCTAAAAATGTGAAAATTATTCAATTCCGAGACGTTGGCCTGAGGGGCATTTTGGTCATTTTATCTATTTTCGCGCCCTAGCTTTAACTTTAATAGTGGAATCAGTTGTTTGCAATATTATTTACGATATGTAATTGAATTGAATAGATTTGGGCCATTTGGAGTCGGATACTCATGGCAAAGGCGTGGTTTCTATTGATATTGAGCCGGTTCGAGGTAAGTGGCTTGTCTAACCTTGTGTGGGGGACCTTTCCCCTTAGGATTTGTTATTTGTTCATTTGAGTGCCTTGTACGCGAGGTGACGGGCGTGTACTTGAGCCAATTGTTGGAAATCCGGTTTTCTTAAGATATTGAGATTGAGTTCCTTTCATATTTGCTTTATTCTATTTGCAATTATAACCTGTGCTAGATTAGAAGCATGTTTAGTTGATTTAACTTGCCTAATTGCTTAAGTTGCCTTGACTGTATTACGTGAAGCATGCTAGGCCAGTACTACATGTTGCTTGTCTTTTGTACTTCGTTTCCGTGTACCTTCTGGTTGTGATTGCGCATTTACATTGGGACTACGGATGTGGGATTCCGGTAGCTCCCCCCCTTGTTTGTTTACTTTGGGACTGCGGGTTTGATTCCCGATAGCTCCACTCAGGCGCACTATCAGTGAGGCAGGAGGACTACGGAGACTTCGAGGTAGATCTGCTGCGTCCGCAGACCGACGAGTCTCCCTCTTATTCTATCTTTAGTACTTAGTTTTCCGTTT